GGTTCTGATAGTTAGAAAAAATAGTTCACAATTCAAAGGCATGGCTCCTTTTTACTGTAGTAGTTGTTTAAATTTTAAAAATTGACTTAAAAATTATTGTTTATAATAGAATGTTTGACTATAGTTACAATTACTTTTAATTAAAAATTTTAACAATGTTCTTGTATACTTCGTTTTTGATGGTTTTTATAGGATAATCTCACGTTTGTAAGTATATAATAAGCTTTTATAACTTATTATTCTAAGCATTTTTGTTATTTCTTATAGATGTCTTGAGAAAGGAAATAAACATTCCCGAAAGCTTGACAACAACACAGAGTGTTCTTATTACATTAGCCCTTAGCACTATTGACTGCAATCCCAAATACATCACTGGTTTTTTATATATATATGCAATAATCAAGCTAAAGCCGAAAATCAGGAGAGCAAAACTTTTTGTTCTTTAAGGTTTTATATATCCACTGCATCTGAAACTTGAATATTTTGCCAATTTTGTTTGAAACTTTGCTGACACTTGAAATTTGGTATACACATAGTACAGTGTTAACATGCAGAAACCAAAAGCAATTTGCAAAGTTCAATTATCTTCATTTTTGCAGCTTTGCTAAGGTTTTATACGTCACCCTAGTTTTATACGTCTCCGTTTTTTTTAATTTTTGGACGTATATAATATATATATTTGTCTACCGGTGTTTACAGCGACCCTATATTTTTATATATCTAAAAGTATTTAGCGCACCAAATAGCGGCAACGTTGCAAAGTTGCTCTAAGCCACTTTATATAGATTTGCTTATGTCGCGGTAATACTTGGTCACGGTAATCTGGTCGCGGTAATACTTGGTCACGGTAATCTGGTCGCGGAAAACCACATGTTACCGCATAGGAACATTTTTAAGAATGTAAGACAGAAATTATTCAAATCAAATTGGAATTAATTTTTTTTTGTTTTTGTTTTTGTTTTTTTTTTTTTTTTTTGGTAAGGCAATATGACAAGTGATATGAAAATTGCAGTTCTGAAAATTTATAGTCGTAAAAAATATCACAAAAGCATTTACTTATATTTGCTTTACTATGGCATTTTTGATTATATCAGATTAATAACTATTGCAATATAATTGATTCAATTTATTTTAAGAAAAATGTAATTATTCCTTATAGCCGCTGTAAGATGTAAGAGAATAACAGTATTTTACTAATTCTACAATAGGTATATAACCGAAATAAAATCTATATCTGGACTTTAAGCAGACTAAAAAATCAAATACTCATGATGGTAAAAAAGTAAATGTACAAGTTACGAGCTCCGTGAACCCGCTATCTTGGAAATACGATATGATATGATAATGATTCTGTAGAATACATACTTTTGCATGAAAAAACACTTGTTCTCTAGCCACCGAGACATAAAGACCTCTGTTTGTGAATCTTTTATAATCCTTTAAAAAAAATTAAAGTTATTAAGATTTTTTAAAAACAGAGTCGTTAACGCAAAACGCGTAACTGGTGTCAGAAGTGGGATAGCTAAGAAGAGTCATTTTCCAAAAATTGAAAATCGACGCTGGTTTCAACCACTTACTTCGAAGTNAGTTATAAGCTATAAAAGATAAAATTTTGTAGAGAAAACTAATAGAATTTAAATGATCTAGACATATGTCAAAATTAACAAACTTTTGTAAATTTAAAATATAAAAATTAAGAAATTTAATGCTAAAATAGCATGAAAGGATAGTTAATTTAATAAAGAGTTACCTGAGCACAAAAAATAACAAGATCCTAAATGTGTTAGAGTAAATTTTAAAAAGTACATAATATGTTGGTAACGATAAAGTAACGAAGGATAAAAATTTTAATATAACTTTGTGCCAGATAACAGAAAGTAATAAAATGTTAAGTTAACTATACCTTAAATGAAATTCCATAGGTAGAATAAGATTCACAATATTGTAAACTATTGAATTTACATAAAACCAATGTAAAACGATCCTCAACGGAGAAATTTATAGAAATTATAGTTAGTGTGTGGAACATTCTGAATAATTGTGTATAAGGTGAAAGACTGATGTCCAGAGACTACAATTTTCGTATCATTCCATATAAAAACATTTTGTGTTAGATAAACTTTCAAAGTGAAAACGGTTTCGTAGTACCTACAAGTAAACAGACTGTAAATTACAGAATTTAAGCAAAATGGACAGTATAAATATAATAAAAGTAAAGGGTATAGGACAATGTTTAAACCCAAATGCTTAGATTTTAGTTATAAAAGGTTTTTTTTGAGAGATTTGCATAAATATGTGAAAATTTGTATTAGGTTAAGAAATGTTCGTACTATATAATGTTGCATATCAAAGTATTCGTTATAAGCCAAGGAATCCAAAAATGATAATCATTTTTCCAAAAAGTCAAGCATAACTCCAAAATTTCCAGGCAAAGTTTTCACAAATTCAAAGAAACGTCAATTGCCATAGCAACGATGAGCATTTGTCCAGGTTATTATAAAAACAGGAACGGGACCAAACAACGGGGAGTAGTAATTTGGCAGTCGTCGAAGTAGCATGTAACATGTCAATCCTAAAAAACAAATTAACAAAGTAAAATCGAAGTTGTATATGAAAAATACCGTACCCTGAAGATAAGTAAATAACCTAGTACGACGAATTGACATTTCTCAGTGATTGTGAATCAACCTGGAAAAATCTATTAAAAACCAAAAGTTCCTAAATGGTAATCAATTGTACAAATTTTCATTGTGTAAAAATTTTGTAAACAAGTTAAAGTTAAACTACAGTGTTAAAATAAAGTGAAGTTACTGAAGACCACCAGTGCCAGAAATCAGTACCAGAAAGTAAGAAAGGGAAATCCAAAGTGGACCTATTATGTATCCAGAGACCATCGACTTTAAAAATAGAAATACCAACGAATGGAAATGAAATATCAAGATAAGTAATTAAGCTAAGTTAGCAACTTGCAATGCACCTATGCTTTATCAGAGATTGCATAATCATATGGCCAGAATTAAATTCAAATTATTTAACGAAATTAATTCAAATTCAATTTTCAACTAAAAAAAGTATCGATCGATAAAAATTTTTAACAAAATTAAAATAAAAAATAGTTTGTAGTAATTAAAAACTTAATTTTGTCAATTATAACTAGGAGTTATGTTTAATATATCTGATTTGTTACGAGTTGAATTTTAATCTTTTATTATCTAGATCTATAATCAATAATTAACGAAAGCAAAGTTTAAAGTGCAAAATAAAAGGTTATATAAATTTATATATAAAGAGTGTTATAATATCCCAGAACCGCGTACCCAGAGAGAAAGAGGTCTAGCTCTATAAAGTTCCTTACATAGTGATAAGCATGGCAGGTAAATATTGTAATTAATTTTTTTTTAAAGGCGTCCAACAATCAATAGCATATCCTAAACAAAATATAGTTTTACTAATCATATTCTAACAAATTACACATATTAACCAAAATATTAAAATCATTTACCATTCATCAAATAAATTAAAATAAAAATTGAATTTTTTTTATACACATGAACAAAAATTAAAATCCAATAATCAATCAAAATAATCAATTAAATAATAACAATAAAAGAAAAATTATATTTATTACATCAAATCAATCAAATAATAATAATTTATTACATTATAAATATTGTCGCTAGCCAACGTGGG